AATAACCTTGCACTCATTAGATTATAAATTTGTGTTTAGTTTTGGAATAATGCCCTTTAAACATTTCCATTTTAAAGTAAGAGTTCTGCTGATTATCAGCAGTATTTAACTATTTGAAATATATAGCGCATTAATTGTTTTATGTTATTATAAATAAATATATTTTTTCATTAATAATACTTTAACAAAAAGAAGATTTATACAATATAGGTGCTAGAATAGCATAAAATAAAACTGGTGGACATAGTCGGATTCAGAAAAATGTATGAAATTTTGCTAAAAATTGTATGTATACCTGTCATAGTATTAATTTGTATCCTCCGGATATACCTCCATTAGGATCCAGTGTCATATGGGATTTTACCGTCTATATAACTTCTTTGACCCATGTCATAGTATTGATATACAGATTTTTTCATGAGTCATTAGATCAACTAAAAGGTAGTTTAAACTTTAGGTTGTATTCATACATATTGACTGCACATGTACATGTCAAGCAGTGCATACATTGTAGATAATGAAACCGGATCCTGCAACCTCTTTATACCCATCTTATAGAACTCATATAAGCTACACTATATAATGACCCTATAAGATAGAATTTTTAGGTAAATAAGGTTGCTTCATAATTTTCCTGGCTCATCTAAATCAAGGAGGCCACTTGCATGCTTTTAACCTTGAACTGTTGGCTGTTGACGCAGCAAATGTTTTTGAGGATACTATATGTGTGCACTGATCATGATCAATCTTCTCATTATATTCATCAATGTAATTAGTAAAGTGGTGAATAGCCTGCACACTTACACTATCAGTTTAGCCCGCTGGCAGTAAACTCGGTCACTGGTGTTAAATTGATTGTAAAATATTCACAAGTAGTTGGCATAATGCTTGATATGGAGCTGGTATACGTCGTGTTGAGGAGTATACAGAACTTTGAGAATTCAAGTAAATCAAGCAACTGTGTGCAGGTTCATGGTGTTGTATATACTCTATATTCATCAAGGATTTACTGAAACATGGTATGTAGACATTCTTTCTACCACCATTTACATATACATGTTTTCATTTTAACTATTCATGCCTATGAACTGTTTATATAGATATGTTTACGTCAAACTTTGTTGTTGTCTTGAGTGGAACTTTGATCAATTGGCTATCCTTGTTAAAATACCTAGCAATGAAATCACTCATAGAACCAAAAAGTAAACTTCACATAAAAAGTGAAAGGAATTCATGATACATATCTATTTTTTATAGCAGTACTAGTACACATATGCACCAAATGGCAATAGAAAGAAAAAAACCAGCTAGAAAATACAGAAGTGTCAACAAAAACATATTTCGAACACAAAATTGATAAAACTAGAGCAAAAAATGAACAATGCTGTCAATGGAAAGATCTACACAGAGATCCTTAAAAAAGTACAGAGTGAAAAATACCAGGTGTTCCGGAAGGGTAAGCATCTTCTGCTTCATCAACAACACCTACCAGGTAAATCTAAGGCAAATCCTAGTAATGTCGCATCCTCATATCAGGAACTCGGATAAAGATAGCAAAGACACACTACTGAGCATAGATATGTAATGTTTATTATGGTCAGTTTATGTGTTGTACCTTTATAAGCTGCAAGACAACACATATTTCACTGCAGAACGCTATCTGAAGAGCAGAACATTGAACATCATGAAAATTAGGTCTGTTACAATTAATTGAATATTGGGTCACGTAGATCAAATGTTTAGTGCACTGTATTTATACTATCAAATGGAGTTTTCTTAGGATAAGCAAACCTCCAAAAAAGAAGTTTGCTATTTAACCTTGCTTAAATTCAAGTTAACTTTTCTTGAAAATTAGCAGAGATGTTTTCTGGACAATAGTATGGAGTGTTAGCTAGATTTCTGCTGCAGAAAGTACTCATTATGTTCAAAAATTAGATACCAGTGCCTATTAAACTTACAATGATAACATTATAATTAATACAGAATTAAAGATCACAAATTGCCTTTCAATCTGTTTCAAATTCTGTTGCTGACTTTGCTTCTTGAAATTTTTACTGGTCGATGTATAATGAAGCGTTAAGTGTTTCTATTTGTGTTCTATCCTAGTTGGAAATGGCCTGCTCCAAAATCTGCTATGTACATGTAGCTAGCTATATAGAATACTCTAGATGCTTGTAAGTGTTCTTTTTCCTTCAGGTGGAACCCTTCACTTGATTATGGAAATGTGGTTTGGTAAACTGTTCAGCAAGGGGGGTAAAGTTAGGTGCGTTTTGTTTATTCACTGTCAATCAAATATTGACCTGATGCTTTAGAACCTGTATACATAGGTCTGGTTAGTTTAGTAAATATACTTCTAACACCTATTATACAGCTAACCGTTCTGTTTGTTGAAGTCAAAAGGGATAAAGTGAATGTTATTATCACCTTCAGTGTATATATACATAGATCTTGGAGTTTTGTCAGTTGTATTTGATGAGGAAATGTGAAATTCCTGGATGCTTACAGTAAATTCTATAAACTGTACATTTCATTATATTTTAAGTTTATCAATGAAATATACAGCCCTTTGCAGGCATGAAGGTATTTATAAGCAGAACCATGAATTGCATCAATCTAACTCTGCTAAACCCATCATGGAATTTTAATCTACCAGGCAAATGGACCAGGATGCTGGCTGGATTGTTATAATCCTGACTTTGTTCATTTCAGGGTTAATGACTTTCTTGTTTTGTTACCATTAACATCCACATACAAGGTGTACAGTTTCACTTGCCTGGTGACCAGTGCTGTGGGCTAGTAAATTGAATGTCAGGGTTTAAGTACAAATATTTAACATTCACTATAAAGTTGTAGATTGGGCTGGTAGAGTTTTTCAAAATCTGTCTGCATATGTACACCACTGCCAAACAGCAGGTACAGCATACCTGTACATATAGCCTGTATTGAACATTAACAATATTATGCTAGCAACTCTAATTTAGGAACCTTATTATTTACTTATCTGTGTCCCATAATGGCATTACTGATTTTTTTAGCCAGCAGGTCCCCATGATTTGAAGGTGAAAATCTGCATGATTTAAGAAATAATTAACATATGTGCATGTGTTTTGCTGGAGTATAATAAAGTGATGAGGCATGTACCATTAGCTGGATTGTAAAATGATGTGGATGCAAAATGTATCATCTTTCACATGTAGAAGCTCTGTGGTGCTATCTGTTGGTGTACATGATTGAGAACAATATTTCAATGTTTTATTTATTTAGGGAACAAAAAAGAAGCTGAATTGTGACAGAAAATGACTGAAGTATTATGGATTGATTAAAAATCATCTTTAATGATAATGTAGCTTTTTTGTTGTCATTGAATCCATATTTTAATATCAACAATTAAGTGTCAACATTAAAATTACCAATTTTAAAATTGGCACCCAGTACCCTGGATTTTGGATAATTTATTGGAGCAACATCGACATGTTTGAAACATGTCAATATTGCTCCACTTATTCCTGGATTTTTACTTACACCAGTGTGAACTCTGTATACCTTCGTAGTATCCACGGTACAATTGACCAAGAAATTGAAGAAATTTCAGTTATCTAGGACGTTGTGTCTCCACCCCACTTCTGTGATGTAATAATGGACAAAGAAAACTAAATTTAATACAAAATTTAAATTGCACATTTCAGCTTTATTTCCGACCACACACACAATAAATACAAACTACATGTACATTTGAGGATTTTTGATGAACATGCGACTGCTTATTTATGTGTTTAGCAGCTGTCGCACCTGGATGGTGAGAAAATGCTGAGGGAAAAAAATAATGATGGCTGCTTCTGCCCCAGTTAATGTATTTTTCTCAACATTTCTATACCTAGAGTTAGATATTATACCTTAAGATACGAACACATGCTGATTAGATCTATTCTACCACATGCAAATGTAATTAAAGGTATTTTTCGTGTCTACTTCAGAGCTTACAGGAAGGCGCGACATATATCATCCAATCATGTAAATTAGGCTGTTCTTTATCACTTGCAAATATTTGCCACATGTACATGATGCCTTGTTTTCATTTCACGTACAAGCACAGACACAAGTCACAGATAAATATTATCTTAATTTCTGGACATTGTTTTGATGTGTATATTCATATATGAATACATCCACAAATCTAAGAACTATGTACATGTATACATGCATATTTCCACATATAAACATAGTTCCGAGATTCGTGGATGTATTCATATATGTTATAACCTCATTGATGATTGGTCAAAGCTAGTTCTTCCAAGACAAATCACATGGCTTAATTTCTGCATTTGCACTAGGGGCGAAACTGAAGGGAAGAGCACTGGGCATACACACCAAGTATGGTTTGTTTGAAAATAATGGGAAAAGCATGTTCATGGGTTTTGGTCCAATAATAGTTAACACATGGCATTTAACCAATAAAAAGTGTTGTTACATTGTCAAAATGATAGAATATCCCATAAATACTCCATTGAAAAGTTTAAGCATATCCTTACAAGTTCTAATGAATTGAACTTGTACAATATCATACCTTGTGAACATAGCTGTGGCATGTTCAACTAAGAACTGTCCTTACACCTATTTCTGACAAGCTTTCGTATTCTTGAATCAGCTAGAACATACATATACATGTATCTAATTATCTTTGACCAATTTATTGTTTAAATGAGCTTAACATCCAATATTGTGACTAACTTACACAAATAAAAAAAAGTTTTTGACCACAAATAGTATTGCAAATGTTTGAAAGTACCAATAATCATTTTACCTTAACGCCTTCACCCAAGAAGACACATTTGAACTCCCAATTCAAAGGTTGGAATAGTTCATTTTGAAAGTCCAGGGTGAGTGAGTTAATGTATATATTCATATAGTGACGATTGCAATTGTCAAAATTAGGTCATTCACTTATGATGTATTTTGAATTAATCTGTTTAAATTTGTAAGTTATTTGTTTTGTGTTTCAGGATGGTGAAACCAAACTGTGGGAGAAGTCTGACTTTAGATCTTTACATGAACAAGTGAAGGAGGCCATCAACTACATTGCTTCAAAATCGGTAGGAATTATATTCTCTTCAATCACCTCAAATATTGACACAAGTGGACCATTTGAAAGGGATTTAGTCCAATCAATATTATACTTTTATTGTCCAGGTATCAGGTTTGTTTCATTAGGTGAATCAAATAATGAAAAAAGAATCTATATCACTCATCAGAGTGTTTTTATTTCTGGTAAAAGCTTGTGGGACAGCACCTGCTTATAGTGCATTGCCCTAAATTAGTGTGGACAGAAACACTCTGAGATTAAGTTCTTCTCATCGCTTCTTTCTTTCTGCCATTAGATAAGTTTGATTTAAGATTTGGTTTTATGGTTTGGGCTCAAATAGGTAATGTACAGAAACTCCTCATTCCTATAGCTAGTCATTCTATAACTGTTGGCACAGGAGCTTCAATTCGTTCTAGTTGTACAACGTCCAAGAAGGTCGGTTGGCTGATCTTAATTGACATCATGGTTTCAATTTCATCTAATTGAAATTCTATAAGGTTTTTACACTTCAAAGTGAACTTGTGTTGTATAGTTCAGCTATATGTTTTGATGAAAAGATGTACTACCCACATTGAGGTCAATGAATTCGTTGCATGCCAACTGTGACACAGTTCTCACTACAGGTATACATACTGAATGCCAAATTTGGTGTTATTTTGTAAGGTCAGTCTCCCAGTGGCTGAGTGACTGTTATTGAATATTTGAACGGTTTACTGGAAGCAAGACGTACTAAGTCAGCAGTAGATATTTCTCAACATAACCTTATATGCTGCATGCATCCTTGTATATGGAGTTTGTGAGATAAATGTATACAGGCAATATCAACCAAGATTACACAGGCACAAAACAAAGAATGTATTGAAGTTGGCAGTTACAGGTCTAGCCTCAGAAGATGAGAGTTATTATCAGACTCTCGCTCCACCTTCAAACTTGGCAACCATTCAGAGAATAAAGCATTAATTTCAAAAGCAGCATGTGAATTGATCTATATATCTCCAAACAACAACAGTATCGATTCTCAAAGTACCGTTATGTTGATCCACCGTGTTTGGGTTCCAAAGAAAATTGAAATATTCCTTCTTTTTGAAATTTCATATTAAGATAAGTCAAATGTTGATTTGTGTATATCCATTGGCACTAGTAGCAGGAATGTGATACCATCATCTGGTTTGAAGATCCATGTCTGAAGTTCCCTGAAAGTATTGAATTTCTCTACAAAATGTAATTTTAGAAATGAAATGTACTAGCTAATAAATGTCCCATTTATTTCCATTTCCCATTTCCTGGTTTTGTTATAAACCACATGCATATAAATCAGCCGTTACAATTAGAACTGTTGTCTCATGCCGGCAGACATTGCACTTTGTAGTCGAGGCATTCATTGTCCTGATGCTGAAACTATTACAAACATCATTTGTCATTGTTATTTACATTACGATGGTAATTGTATCTTTGTATGGAGATGGTTGGATGATCTACATGTAGATTCAAGTGCAGATATTCATGCTTGAAATCCCCTGAAATTTAGCCTGAACCTAACAATAAAGAATAGTGCTACCTTACTCATTATTTGTATGGTTTTTGTCTCGATGTGACAAAGTAGCGGAAGCAAGACTGAAGTGTTGCTTTACAAGTGACTGCCGCGTCAATGTTAAGTTTTTGCGTTTAAGTTAGTTTCACTGAAAGTATAAGTGCTAGACCAACCAAACTTGGACCAAAGATGCATCTTAGGTAGTACAACTCAACCCATGCATCAAATGCTGGATGCATCCTACCATTCATGGTCCATTGACTTTGTCAGCATCTCCATCAACATTAAGTTTTTGAGTTTAAGTTAGTTTCTCCGATATGTGCATTGATGGTCAAAGCGGGGCACAGGCGAGACATATCAATCTGAATGACTTGTTTCATATAATAATAATAAAAAATAATTCAAGGTTCTTATATACTGCCTTATCACAACCTAGTTTGTAGGTCGTCTCAAAGCGGTTCACAAATTATTATCCATGGTTATAGAGCCTTTGCAACCAGCCATTATTATTTAATGCTTTCTCAACTCCTGGGGGAGCATACAGCTGGTGCTGCCATTTCTGGGCTCACAGCTAGCATTCTACAATTCTAGCACTGCCCAACCACGTACATAATCATTTACAGCTGAGTAGACTGGAACAAGCGGAGTAAAGTATCTTGCTCAAAGATACGACACAGTGCCGTGCTGTGACTTGAACCTGAAACCCTTCAGTCACAAGCCAGGCGTCCTACCGATAGACTACCGTGCCTCCTATATGATGCAATCCCATTATTTACAGTTAATCTACTGCACTTACATAAACAAACATGGTTGGAATAATTCTCTCTTGGTCTTGCGAACAGTTGCTGTTATGTTTTGATTGATTCCCAAATGAATACTAGGTACTCTAATTGGATTAGACCACTAATGGCTAATTCTCAGTATTGCCAGATCAATTTAATAAAATGTTTTTTATAATTATTCCTGTCCTAGTCTTTATACCAATTACCGGTGTTGCTATAATACTTATATCCATAAGAAATCTTAAGAAACCACCATGTATGGTCTCATATATAGACAGAACTATTTCAAATTCTTGTCCAGTTTAGCTAGGCCTTGATGAGCATCTTGCAAACAATTCCACCGAAAAGATTTTGTGACTATATTGGTACGAAATTTAAAAAATGCTAATTAATAATCTCCCTTAATAAGCACAGAAAGGTCAGTTTGCTCAATTATCAAAAGATATGTGATCTACATACATAAAGTTTGATAAAAAAAAACAGTTTTGATTAATAGAATCTTCCCCTACCTTGAGGGTGTGACAGAGAAATCTCCAACCAGAGGGGTGATGTTTTTTGGTTGTCTAACCCGATGCTATGCCGAGGGTTAGACAACCACAAAAAACCACCCAGAGAGTTGGAAATTTCTTTGATTATTTTTCTCCCATCCTATTATTTCAGTCACAACTCCACTGACAGTAGTCTGTTAACAAAAACAAATGTGGGGTATGAATATCGTCATTGACTTTGAGGATGTCACAATTACTGGTGACACATTTTAATGACGTCACAATTAAACATGTGCTAATCGGCACGAGGCTATCTCACCCTAAAGGGTGACAAGCTGACCTTTCCTGGCTGAAAAAGGAGACACACCTGTGAAAGGTGGGAGAATATTTCGTTATTGGCCATATCCATGGAAATTGAGATGTCTTACACAACATTGGTGCTGAATACTATATAATCTGGAAATGGTCACACAACATTGGTGCTGAATACTATATAATCTGGAAATGGTTACACAACATTGGTGCTGAATACTATGTAATCTGGAAATGGTCAGTTATTGGCCATATCCATGGAAATTGAGATGTCTTACACAACATTGGTGCTGAATACTATATACTCTGGAAATGGTCACACAACATTGGCGCTGAACACTACATAATCTGGAAATGGTCACACAATATTGGCGCTGAATACCATATAATCAGGAAATGACCAAACAACATTGGTGCTGAATACTATATACTCTGGAAATGGTCACACAACATTGGTGCTGAATACCATATAATCTGGAAATAGTCACACAACATTGGCGCTGAATACTATATGATAGCTGAAAATGGTCACACAATATTGGTGCTGAATACCAAATAATCAGGAAATGACCACACAACATTGGTGCTGAATACTATATAATCGGGAAATGGTCACACAACATTGGCGCTGAACACTATATAATCTGGAAATGGTCACACAATATTGGCGCTGAATACCATATAATCAGGAAATGGTCACACAACATTGGTGCTGAATACCATGTAATCTGGAAATGGTCACACAACATTGGTGCTGAATACTATATAATCTGGAAATGGTCACACAAAATTGGTGCTGAATACCATATAATCAGGAAATGGTCACACAACATTGGTGCTGAATACCATATAATCTGGAAATGGTCACACAACATTGGTGCTGAATAC